TATTAAAGATGCCGGGGCCAAAGGGTGTTATCACAATGAATGGTGACACCGAGTGCTCTCTCCGAATAGAGGAGCAGGCCATGGATTTCGCAGCCGAGGTTCAGGCTGCCGAGGAAGCAACTTAGACCCTATCCGGGAATGGTACACCTAGCTCTGCAAAGCGCATTCGAGGTGTCCCTTCTGCTCCCGGACAGTCATGTGGCGACCCTAAATATGGATACGCGCTCCACGGTTCTCCCTATCTAGTCGAGGATTATGTACCTTGAGTGCATAACTTCGCGCTTAAAATTCCATGGGAAGCCGAGGAGCACATTAAACTGGGTACATCACTTGGCTCAACTAGGCGACGCACATTCAAAGTTTTGCTCATCCACAGGGTACTGTCAAAGGCCCACTAGGAGCGACAGGGTTCAACCATCACTATGCAACTACAACCTCTTTAAGGAATCCATTTCTCGAATGCATCAAGCATAGGATATGAGGGGTAGTATACAGTGTCGAACAACCTCGGAATAGACGAGGATAAGCTGGTAAACAATGCGGAGGCGCAGGCATGCGGCAGGGCAAAACAAGGGCGATAAATCAAACTATATACGGACGCCCTGTATAAACCCTCCCTTTCTTTTTTTACTCTTTATTTATCTTTTAGAAGTTTCTTTGACAAGCTCGACATGTACGGCTTGGCCTTATAAATCAAATAAAAAGACTTTTCACGGTCGTTGCGCATCTACTTTTGGTAAAAAAATCTTTTATGCCTCCGAGCCAAAGATAACTATCGCGATACAATATTTCTCAAAACATACTCGGCCTTGGACTCGGGGCTCAGATTCAATCTGTGCCCCTTTAAGTCCGATAAGTTTATTCGGCGTTTAGGATATTGCATTATATGCATTAGTTTCAAACAATGATTTTGGTCAATAGTTGGGTTGCCCAGCTCTGTGCTTACCTCTTATTTTTTCTGCTCTATTCGGCTAAGAGTGTAAAGGGACAACCACTGCAATTGCGCTTCCAGCTTGAATGGTTAAGCGCCTCAGTGGAGAAAGCCGAAAACTTAGTGTCATGGTAAGCGCAAACTGGTCAGCGATCCAATGACAGTGTTAAACTATAAATCGATAGAGGTTACTCCGTGTTAAACGAAGAGTTCTTGTTATAAGAACTGAGGTGTTAAGGATCTGATCTCGGCATGTCCGATTACCACAACACCAGGGGTTAGTTAGTTGCCCCACAGTCAAGCTCCTGTGATTAAGTGAAAGTTATAAAATGAAAATAGTCTGATTGCCTAGTTTCTACCACACACAACCGCCTCCGGCGTCGAGACGTCGGCTAAGAGTTAATGTGTTTTTAGAAACACCCCACGTAGTATCTACAACGGGAGGAGAAGTCACCGACTACCGATTTCAGTATTAAAACAAACGCACAGGAGGCAAAATAAAGATATCGGGCGATACAGCCGATCAGTCACAAAAATAAAGCTTGTCTTTTTTACATAATTAAAACTTTGGCATTCCGAAGTAGTATAAATTAAAAATGCAAGGTGTCTTTGCTACACTGGGTCTCGGTGATCCGAGCACCCTCCATCACCTCGGCCAAGTACTGGTCTGGAGTCCAGTTCTTGCCGACAGGAGGGCGTGAAGCCACTTCCGTAGCCTTGATGTCCGGGTAATGCGTCCTCACACACGTGTACGCCCATTGAGCACCCTCCAGGCAGGCGGAACGCTTCCAACGGAGGACTTGGGGCCTCACACCTTGGAGCTGCTGCACCAAGCCGAAGAAACTGCTCGACAATGGCTCTTGAGGCCAGAGACTGACGCAGATGTCTTCCATCGCCGGCCTCGCCAGGCGGTACAGTTCCATCAATTGCTTCATTTCGTTGTTGAGGAGCTGAGGGTGTGACGGCGCCTGGAACTAAGCCCAAAAGGTCTTCTGTGCGGAGTCGCCCGGGATTGAGCCATAGTAGCGGTCGGCGTCCTAGGCGCTCCTCGGCAGGTCCATGAAGGTGTCTGAGGAACGCCATACTTGCGTGAGTTGAGCAAACCTGAGTTCACCAAAAACGCATCGAAGCAAGTACGACTTACCAGCGACAATTTGCCTCACTTGTTGAAGCTCCTTGCGGCTCGCCCGGGCCTGAGTCTTGGCCTCTTGCCACGACCGAAGCAAGTACGACTGCCTTCTTTTGTTTATCCCGAAGGGTGTCGTGTTCTGCGAACAAGCCCCTTCAGGTCCTCCTCGACCTCGGTAACCCGGGCCTGGTACTTGCCGCAGGCTTCCTTCTCCTCGGCCAGCTCTTCGCTGACCTTCTTCGCCCCAGCCTTCTGATGCTCGGCTTCTTGCTGAGCTTTTTTAGGCTCAGCTCGGAGGGCCTCAAGCTCCGTTGTGGTAGCTGGAAAAGCAATTAAACACATCAGTGTTTCGACAGTTCATGTTATCGCTGCAACGTATATTCAGCTCAGAACTAGCTTTATGCTTACATTGGGCCCGGTACATCTGCTCTTTGAGCAGTACTATGTCCTTCTCGGACCGCTCCAGTTTGTGGTTTAGCTCCACCAACTCTTCGGAGTTGGAGGTCGGAGCCGAAGCCGAAGCCTGAAAAGTCGGTTGTTAATTGTCTCCGATACCGATTTCGATCCTCTGGTCGGCTTAACTCATCCGACCAGAGTCTCGGGGCTACTGCATATTCGCTTTTTATATGACCTTAATCTAGTATAACAACAACCCCAAATCAGTTCTCTAACTGACTTGGGGCTCAGGGGATACTGCGTACTGTTCATTACACTTCTACGTGTACATTTGCATTTGGTTTTTTCAACAGTCTTTGGACAAAAAGCCATTTTTCTGCCTTATAACTATGCAAGCTAACAGTAGAGGAGTGTTACAACATCGAAACCTTTGAAAAGGCCCTCTGATCTCGGTCTCTGCGGATCGGATGCCGTTCAGCGCTGCGCCGAGTAGGGCACTGTGCTCTTCGATAATGGCGGAGTTCGTCAAAGCCACCTCCATCTCCTCAAGCCGCTCCATCGTCCTTCTCTTCCTCCTCCTCCTCCTCTTCCTCGCAGATGGAGGAGGTGTGGGTGTCTTCGGACCTAGCATCCAAGGGATCTCGGATACGCTGACCAAACTTCTTCTTCGGCTATTTCTTCTCCTTGGCCAGGACTACATATGTTTTCTCGGCCAGGAGTGCCTCGAGTTGAGGAGACCAGGCCTCCTCAGGCAGTGGCGCCGGGCACTTTATCTTCAGTGCCCGGGGGAGCAATTTCTTGGGGAGGGGGGAGGTGAGGCGGGCCTCGTTATTTCGATAGAGGAGCTTGAGAAGAAAGGACGAGCATAAATCACAAGACTAGTCTTACCTCATGGGCTCCATGCTTTGCCTCGAGGCCGCAGTCCTCCCCTTCTTCAGGGAACTTGTTCCTGGACGGCTTGAAGAGTGTCGTCCACATTCCCGCCAGGTTGGTGCGGAAAAAGTGTCGCACTGTTGGCACGTCCTCGGAGGAGTAGAGCCACATCGAGCTCGCCCGGAGCTGAAGAGGAAGAATATGACGCTGGAGCATGACGTCAAGCACGTCCACCAGCTTGATCCCCTTGTCCTTCATGGAGTTGATCTTCTTCTACAGCACTGGTACCCCTTCGGGTTACCCCAGTCCAGGCCCTTTCTCATCCATGAGATGAGCCTCCTCGGAGGACCACCTGAGAAAGCCGGGATGCCTGTCTGGCCTTCGGCTAGCGACTCGGCGATATAAAACCACTCCCGCTGCCACTCCTTGATTGTCTCCACGAAGGCGCCTTCCAACCAGGCCACATTCTGGGTTTGCTGATCATGGCTCCGCCGCATTCGGCTAATTGGGCGCCGCTGCTCTTTGGCTCTATGCCGAATGTCTTCAGCCATAGGCCGAAGTGCGGCTCCACATGAAGAAAAGCCTCGCAGACGGTAATGAACGTCGCGAGGTGGAGGATGGGGTTTGGAGCTAGATGATGGAAATCTAGCCCGTAGTAGAAGAGAACCAACCCCCCTCCACCGCACAAAGGGGTGCAGGGGGAACCCAAGACCTCGGACGAGGTGGGGAACAAAGATTACCCTCTCCCCTGGCTTGGGAGTAGGGATGTGATGGTTGGGCTCCGGGGTGGCAGGCGGCGGCGGCGGCGGGGATGTACCCCGCCATCCGCAGCTCTTGGATGGTGCCCTCCGTGACGTCAGAGGCCGCCCACTGACCCTTCAAGTTGACGCCAGCCATCGCGGAAGTGGAGCTGCGAGCACTGGGCAGGGATTGTGAAAGTTTTGAGAATGGATCTGGGGCGCTGGAGCTCTGGAGGCTGTGTGCAATAACGAAGAGATGGAAGCGTGGGGAAGTAGGGGTGCTGCCCTTTGCCATTATAGGTCAGTAAGAGACCAAAGGTCCCATTTACTGTGCCGGATTAATCGCCACGTCTCAATCCTTGGTGCCGTTATAGGCACATGGGGTGAAACAAATCTTTGATGATATCCCCTGAAATACGAAGCACGATCTCTACCTTGATGAGACGTGACAATTGGAGAGTTGCCTCGGGCCGCGATTCGAGTAACAGTCACTAGCTCATTTGGTATAGGTGGTGAAGCTTCGATAAAGTTGTCAGGCCATAAGCCCCGGTAATTTCTATATAAACAAGATGATAAGTTATGTATCACAGACGTGATAACTTACTTAGCCTAGGCCAGGTAACTTTTGACCCGAAAAAAAGTTGTCGAAAATATCAACATGCGATCTAGTTTCGAAGGTCTCATCACGATGAATCTTTCACGTGAAAACAGGTTTTTAATTGGACCAACGGTTTGAGCTACAAAACATTTTAAATTTTCGCATTGGAAAGAATCTTTGATGACATCATTATTTTTGTTTTCTTTCCATGCATTCATGCATGCATTTAAGAGGGAGAGGGGGCTTGACGTGGAGGCGCTCGGATGAGTTGATATATTTCAATCGATCGGACATTAGCACAGTCCATATTTATATTAATTTCTTGCTTGCAGGATGGATGAAGCTGGGGCACTGATGCCATCGTGGATGGAACTGTGGAATGAGTGGGAGATCCAAGTAGTTGTTGTCGCCAGCTTCAGTCTACAGGTTATCCTCTTCTTCTTCGCAGGGATCCGCCGCTACAGCATCTCGTCTGTTCTCAGGGTCCTCCTCTGGCTGATATATCTGCTTGCCGATGTCGTTGCGACGTATGGCCTGGGGCACATGTCCTCGGTCATGTCAAAGAAATCATCCGGCGAGCACCAGCTGGTGGCATTCTGGGCGCCATTCCTCCTGCTGCACCTTGGTGGCCAGGATACCATCACCGCTTACGCCCTGGAGGACAATGAACTCTGGCGGCGCCACCTGTTAAATATGTTGGTGCAGGTCGCCGGCACTGCGTATGTGCTCTACAAGTACATCAATTCAGGGGAGGCGACCTTTGTCCGTGCCGCTATGTTGATTCTTGCTGCCGGGGTTTTCAAGTATGGCGAGAGGATATGGGCGCTGAATCTTGCAAGCAAGGGTGATACCACAAGGCCAAGACGTGATCCAGAGGCCAACACTATTCCTTATTCTCCTGCCAAAAGGGAGACACAGCAAAAACATGAAGACTGGCGTCGCCAAAACGGTGGAGACTGCTTCACCAAAAACAAACAGTTTAGAGCATATGCATTTATTGTGACGGCGGCACATGCGTTGCGCCATGTACTTGTCAAGCCTTTAATCATAGACAGGAATGAGGCGTCCATAGACTGGTATGGGGCATTCATGGACCAGAATTACAGTACAATGTATCTCGCAGATAGTCTTGTACGAGGCTTTGACTGCCAAGACGACGAGAGCGAAGATGCATCGGCAACGGAGAAGAGGACTATTAAGAAGCTGTACAAGGGAGTAGAGGTGCAGCTCGGCCTAATGTACGACATGTTGTACACCAAGGCACAAGTGATCCACAAAAGCCGTGGCCACTGGATCCGTGCCATTTCACTTGTGTGTTGCTTCGCCGCTCTTGTGGTCTTCACAAAAAGCAAGAGAGATGGATACAGCACACCCGACATTGTTATCACTTTTGCTCTTCTGGGCGGAGCATGCGCACTAGAGGTCACATCTTTTTTCAAGGCGATTGGGTCAACATGGGCATTTGACATCTTGAGACGCTACAGATGGAAGTGGCTGGCCAATGCAGTTTTGTTTGCACGTTACCACCTCGTCGTCGTCAAGGAGGGAAGGTGGTCCAATTCCGTCGGGCAATTTGATTTCATATCCTTCTGTGCTCACAGCAGCAAGAGGGGCCTCAAGGGAACAATAGCCCGTTTGATTGAGTCAAGGACTTTTGGGACAAAGCTCGCTGCACCAAACATGCCAAGCTTTCGCCTACCCTCAAGGTCAAGGAGTTCGTATGGGGCTTGCTCAAAGGTGACAAGACTCATATGTTTGAAATTGAAATTGAAGAGGTGGACATGCGGAGTGGGAACTGGGCTCGCAGGTTCAGCGGCGTCGCCCAGATCAAACAGCTTGATTGGAGCCTGAGTTATGGATTTCACAAGAGTGTGCTTATCTGGCATATAGCAACAAGCACCTTCCTCAATCACCCTGCCGTCAAACGGAAGCTGGTCGACAAGGACATGGCTGAAGAAGTTAACACACTGTCTCATTACATGATGTACCTCCTTGTCAAGCACCCTGACATTCTGCCCATGAAACCGACTGCTAGGGACATGTTTAAGGAAACCTGCCTCTGTTACGGTTTGGGTATGGTAGGCTGGAACAGAAGTAATGTGGTTGATTTTCACCAGGTAATTCTGGATTACAATAAAGGGGGCAAGCATCTTAAGGACGATCCATGTGGTGGCTGGGTGGAGAGCGAGCGTCGTGAATATACAGAAGAACTATATGGTGACTTGACACATCCCAGTTGGGATGTTCACCCGGGCGATGCTGTGCTGGTGAAAACATGCACTCTTGCTCACACATTGCTCGACATGGAGTTGGGCCTCGCACACAAGATGGCGATAATTGGAACAGTGTGGGTGGAGATGTTGTGCTACGCAGCAAAGAATGCATCTGGGGGATTCCACGCCAGGCAGCTGAGCAATGGTGGTGAGTTTCTGACCCACATCCTGCTCCTCACTGAATATTCCGCTTTTTTAGATGAGAAACCAGCAAAGTCGTACATAAAACCTGATGAAGCTGTGGAAGCTAGTGCTGGTCGCCAGGTCGTACTGAATGTGGAGGATGATTGCAACGATGAGATCTCTGAAATCTGCAACAATGGTTCTGGGCACGTCGTAATAAATGTGGATGATGGCTGCAACGATGAGATCACCGAAATCCGCCCAATATAGCAGGTCAACAATCTGCAAACCTGTTCTCCTCGAATCCAGCATATGCGATTCCATTGTCGTATGTTATTCGTTGATTTTTGTATCCATTTCGATTCCAGCCTTATTGCGGCTGCTGAAGCATGTAACCTCATCTCTTTTGCCAATTTGTAAGTCCCACGCACCCAAACTATTAGTATGATACTATTTTTGATTTTCACTAGCCGCGTCATGTGTAAGGCAGTAAAAGCTCTAATGGTTATGTTGCTTTCATTCTGCATCCGTGTAAAATTCCTTCCAAAATCAGCATCTTTCTGCGGCTGTACGGAGAGTGATTAACTCTGCCTTTTCGTCGAGAACTTTGTCTAGAAATGGAGATGAGTTGTTTGGTGCATGGGGCTGAAATTTTGCAGGGGTTGGTTTCTGTGTGGATTGCATCACTGTTATGTATGGTGTGTTTGGGAACTGGATGCACATGTTTCGACCGCAAAGCAGTTTTAATGCATCCCAACGAAGTGATTTTTTTAATTTGCCAGTTGAACATTGCGATCTTGGGCTGTAATTTTATTGCAGGAAAACCGAGGCAAGTTAGATGGTGGTGGTCGGATAGGTGCTGGCCTGATGGAACAAGTGCACATGAAGTCTTCAGCTTTGCACATGAAGTCTTCTAAAATCACAGCCACTCCATACACAATGTAGAAAGAAAAAATTGCACACTGAAGCTGTAATAACTTTCACATGCCTAGCGCCTTTTACATAAAATCTGCCTAGAAATTTCTCTTTTTATATTTGTCACATGAAATTCCTTGTGTTTTTACATAAAAACTGCACCATTTATTTTTCTGCATTGGTGCTCTAAATCAAAACAAGACTGTAAAGGTCAAACCAAAACTCCAGCAGTTCTCACATAAAGTAACTTAGAGAAAGAAAACACCCATACAATTTAAATGAGGTAAATTTTTGATAGTTCAAAGATGTACAAAACTTATTTCGGCGGGATAAAAAACTCAAAGCCTACAATGGTTTTAGGAGATTTTCTTATGCCCAAGTTGATTCAGAAAAATGCAACTTAGACTTCTCTCCTAGTTGCACTGGAAAAAAGTTTTAGTTCAAAACTTTTGAAAACTTGGAACTTTTAGAAATTTGAACTTGCAGAAGAAGGCAAGTTTGAGAAATGTGAAACTTCCAAACTTTCAAAATTTTCAAAACTTTTGGAATTTCAACTTCAGAAAAAAAATCCAACATCAAAAGAAAAAGCATGTGAGCGGAGGTCCTGAGAGAGAGAAGTGTTCACGTGGTCACATGTTGTCCCCCACTTTCCTTGTGTCTCATTTGAATGGCAAAAGCGAGCCAGCATGTACGCTCCTCGCAAAATGAACAAGTGTTGGAACCCGCGCACTTGTTGTCGGAGCAGCAGCGTGCTGCGCGCGGGAGACCGAGCTCTTTGGCAAAAGCAGACATTATTTTACCTGCGCAGCCGGCCACTGGCTACTAGGAATCCCTGCCAAAAAGAAAAATAATGGGTCACTTGGCATCCCCGCAGCATAAAGAAAAACCTGGTGAGTCGGAACGGAGTAGCTGTATCTGATTGGTTTGATATATGCATGTTCATACACGCGATCCGTCCATTCTTCTTGTAGCACTACCTCTCTTGAGCTCTCACTCCAGGAGCTAGCAATTTTGTTGCGGTTCTGTGTCTTAGCTTGCAACCTTCATATCCAGGCCCTGTTCATATCATGCTGGGTAACATAGCTCATCCACAGGTAAGCATTCGTACATAATGCTATTTCTCCAAGCTCGTGACATATTTCGAATATATATGTATGCATATATGTTTATATTTAATTCTTGCTTGTAGGTTGGCGTATCAATGGGTGGAGCTGGAGCTGGAGCACCGATGCAATCTTGGCTGGATTTGTGGAATGAGTGGGAGATCCAGACCGTTGTTGTTGTTGCCAGCTTCAGTCTGCAGGTTATCCTCTTCTTCCTTGCTGGGATTCGCCGCTACAATGTTTCGTTTGTTCTCAAGGTCCTCCTCTGGCTGCTATATCTGCTTGCTGATGTCGTTGCGATATACGCCCTGGGGCACATGTCCGCGTCATTGTCGAAGAAATCGTCCGGCGAGCAGCAGCTGGTGGCGTTCTGGGCGCCGTTCCTCGTGCTACACCTCGGCGGCCAGGACACCATCACTGTGTACGCCCTGGTAGGGCTGGACACGAGCCGAGCTGAGCCGAGCTTGATCCGAGCCTGGCTTTGGCTCGCTCTGGAGCGGCTCGGCTCGGCTCGGCTCGCTCAGCCAACGAGCCTACTTCAAGCGGCTCGGTTCATTTTAGGTACGGCTCGGCTCAGACCGAGCCGGCTCGTAAGCCAGCTGCCCCCAGAAGGCCAAAACCTCTTTTACTACAGAACCAACGTATATAGTCAATAGTCTTGATTTTTTTCTGCAATTAAACCCATATTTTGGAAAATAAACAGTTTATATTGCTAAAAATGAAACATCCAGCAATCTATTGTTTTAATAAATGGTCATAGTAATGAAAAACAAGCTTTCTTGTATGAATTCTTCTACGAAAATTGTAACAAAGGAGCAAATATGAGAGAAATAATTGGGCAGCATTTGTACTGAATTTTGGACAGAACTCCCTTTGAACTTTACACAGCAAAATATCAAATATGGACAGCCAAACAAAGAAATTTTGTATAGCATAACATTACCACTTTGACATAAAAAATGAGAAAATGTTGACAGCCAAACAATGATTAGTGAAAACCACATAATACAAAGTTCATATTTCATCACAAGTTCACAACATCGTTGAAAGTGCATGGTTCATCACAACATCACTCAAGGTCCATAGTTCATCACAACAATCACGGGTAATTCAAAGTTCATCACAGCAAACACGGGTAATTCAAAGTTCATCACAACAAACACATAATTTGAAGTTCATCACAACAAAAGAAATGGCATGAGACGATCACATTGACCTCAACAATCCACGTGACAAGATCATGTAGACATCCATCTTCAAAACAGCAAGAACAACACCTACATGACGAATGTCTACATGTAACACAGATTTGTAAACATATTGGGATCATGTCAATATATGAAAACTGAAACGTGTCGAAAGAATAGTTACCAATTGTTGTTATCCCCCACATCAACAATCATGGGCAACTTGATATTCTCAACATCGTCCTCCTCATCTTCATCCCTCTCCTAATTATTCAGAAGTTAGCCACATATATACAAGAAATAGACAGGAACCATAGAAGAACAAGATAGGAATCATACCACCACATTGAAGTCCTTGTGAGAACCTTTGATATAACTAGCACCACACACCAAGGCTTCCACCATTTCTGGTTTCAAAGAACTCCCGTAGTCATCTAAAACCATACAAGTAGACATATCTAAGTTCAAGGATAGGATGACAAGTTAACATCCAAAGTTACAAAAACAGCAAGCATATACCCATATGTTTGAAGCATTGTCTAGTGTGATGGATATAATTTTCCTTAAACAAAGCATGTATACTACAAAAACAGCAAGAATATGACCATATATTCAACCAAAACTGCAAGTATATGAACATATGTTCAACAAAAACAGCAAGCATATAACCATATATTTGAAGCATTGTCTAGCGTGGTGGATCTAATTTTGCCTTAAACAAAGCATGTGTACTACCAAAACAATAAGTATACCTCTCCGAACAGCAAACTTTGCCTTCAAACCTCTGACCGCAACATCATTGTTTGAAGCATTGTCTAGTGTGATGGATATAATTTTCTTCTCTATCTTCCATTCAGTCACACACTCATAGGTAGCATCTGAAATCACATGCCCAGAGTGAGGAGGATCCAAATCAATGAAAGAAAGAACGCGTGTTTGCATCTTCCAATCCTTATCTATAAGGTGTGCAACCACACACAGCATCGGTGGGATCAGGGAGACGTCGATGCGGAGGTTTCTTTTTTTTGCCCTATACAACAAGTCAGCCATTGGGACACTATTGGAATCATTTGCCAGCTTCCTCGGCAGCCGTGTAGTAGCTGCTGCATTGCCCTTCCCATTCCCCTTCTGCATCCCCAAGACCGGTAACTTGCTCTTCATAATGGAGTCCAACGTCCTCTCTTCTCCTTCTCCTTCACACTCGCCTTCCCCTTTTCCTTGTCCATCGCTGCGACAATAGGCGCCTGCACACATCAGCAAACAACAAATGGTCAATCATCAACAACAGTAAACTAATTAGACATGGAGTCTATGTAATTTTCCAGCAAGTAGGTTTTTTTTCAAGCTGCTATGCTACAGCAAGTAGATCATCAACTAGGTCATCAATAGCAGAAAACTAATTACACATGGAATCAATGAAAAATTTGATCTATCCATCCATTCTGCCCTACAACTCCATCCATCCGCCGCTGCTACATCTAGCCGTACAGGCTACAATACATCCATCCATGATCCATCCATCTAGCCCTACATCTACCTGACTAGGTCCATCCATCCATCCATCCATCCATCAGATGTGTACTAGTGAGACACCTACGGCTAGGGTTTGAGAAGTTTGAACTACATGACTAAATCCATCGATCCATCCATCCATTGATCCATCACATGCGTATACTGAAGTTCAGAGAGCTGCAGCTAGGGATTGGGAAGGAAGGAGGTACCTGCTCCGGGTCGTCACGTCCCGCGAGAAACCAGGGGAGGCGCGTCCGTCTACGTCCGGTGTGGTGAGGAACGGTCGCGCCGCCCGTCATCGTCGGTGCCGTGTCCCGTCGATCCAGATTTGTGGCGTGGCGAGAGAGGGGCGAGGTGGCGCAGAGCAGAGAAAGGGAGAGACGAGAGATTGGCTGTGGTTGCTTGTGCCCTAATGCGCTAGCCATTGTGATGAATGGTGGAATTGGGCTGGGCCGCTAACGAGTCACCGAGCTGGACCGGCCGAAACTCGGCTCGGCTCGGTCGCGAAACGGGCCTGTTTTCAGACCTCGGCCCGCTCGATAATCCTGTCGAGCCGAGCTGTAACGGGCCGAGCTGGAGCGAGCTTCGGGCCGAGTCGAAAAGCTCGCTCGTACGTCCAGTCTTACGCCCTGGAGGACAATGAACTCTGGCGGCGCCACCTGCTGAATATGTTTCTGCAGGTCGCCTGCGCAGCATATGTGCTCTACAAGTACAGCATGGCAGGCGGGGCAACCTTTGTCCGTCGGAGTAGTCAAGTACGGTGAGAGGATATGAGCACTGATGCTTGCAAGCAAGAAGGGTTCCCATTATGAAACTCCAGGATGGAAGGAATTTCTGTACAAAAGTATTCGTTGTTTTCTGGAGGAATTTCGTGCACCCCCTGCTTATCCTGGTCGTGAGATATTATCCAGAAAGATGCCCACAAAGCGCTGGATACCTTGGTGGTCGGGGTGGTTCACCCAAAACAAATAGCTTAGAACTTATGCATTTACTGTGTTGACAGCACATGCGTTGCGGGATGTACTCGTCAAGCCTTTAATCATAGACAGGAATGAGGCATCCATTGTCTGGAGTGATACCACAACTCGACTAATCAAGAGTCATGCAAATCTAGGGAAAGACCACGAGAGCGAAGATGCCTCAGCGCAGGAGACGAGGCATACTGGGGAGATGTACAAGACAATAGAGGTGGAGCTCGGCCTGATGTACGACATGCTCTACACCAAGGCACAAGTGATTCACACATGGTATGGCTACTGCGCCCGTGCCATTTCGCTTGTTTCTTGCTTCACCGCTCTTGTGATCTTCACAAAGAGCAAAAGAGATGGCTACACCACACCCAACATTGTTATCACTTTTGCTCTTCTTGGCGGAGCTTGCGAACTGGAGGTTGCATCTGTTATCAAGGCGATTGTGTCGACCTGGACTTGTGCCACCTTGAAAGGCAGTAGATGGGTGGTACTGTGTGAGATGATTCTGTTCGCACGTTACCACCTCCTCGTCGTCAAGGATGGAAGGTGGTCCGATTCCATGGG